ATTGGTTTTGGATACAGTTTTAATTTTAAACAAGGTTTTAGACATATGAAATTATGTTTAAAACCTGTTTAAAACTATCCAAAATTGTTCAATTTCCAATACTAATATAAATATAAGATTAGGAAAATACTAGAAATCAGTTGATTCAAAAAGTGAATGATGACCAGTTTCATAAATTAGGTGATATCATTAGCTAAAAATTCATCATTGAAAAATTGGTCTACTGAAGTTACTGGAATTAATTTTATGTTGATCACAAATTAGATGATCTGCATAATTCCTGATTTATCTGATTTTTAATATATTCCTTATATTTCTTATTCACTTATTTCCATTATTTTTATTATTTTTATTATATTATTATATTTATTATATTATTTATATTTATTATACTTTATATATTCATTATATCTCATATATTAACGCTTGTAGTTACAAATTTAATTAGTTTATAGTATAACAAATATTTAGCTGTAACAAATTAATTTTGTATAAATAGAGTAGCTTTTTGCTTAAGTTGTAAATTAACTTATTTGCTAGTTTATAACTTTTTTATAAGTTATTTAACTTTTGTGAGTTTCAAATAATAAAGAAATTAACTTTAAAATATAATTACTTTTTTCTTCTATGTATTCATCATCTAGAATTTGATTGTAAACTAATATATTAACTTGTTTTTGAGTTTATCATTTAGAATAAATAAATTTTCTAAGTTTCTTCTAAGTCTCTAAACCTTTAAATTTATAAAGTTAAGTAAAGTAATTCCAAGGAATTTTAGATATACTCTCAAAAAAAACTGCAGAAATGTATTTTTTAAAAGAAAACACTTTGAAAGCAATTTCTTTTATAAGAAATTTTCTAGAAGCATTTTCTCTTTAAGAGAATCATTCAGAAACGTTTTTTATTGAAAAAAGTCATTTTAAAGATAATTCTCTTAAACAAAATCATTTTTCAGAACTTTTCAATCATTCTAAATTTTTTTTTTCAGATTTTATTAATAATAATAGCCTTATCGTTATGAGTTAACTTGTATAATTCACAAGCTTAGTTTACCATATTTTATACTCAAATCAAGCTGGCTTACAAGCTAAAATAAATCAGCTCAGATCAAGTTGATAGTTAAGTCAGTTTAAGCTAGCTCATACAGAGCTTTAATCTTATATAATCTTTTTTTTTAGTCTATAATTTATCTGTATATCCTTCTTTCTCTTAATAAAATAATTATTATTTTTTTATTATGTAATTTTACTTGTGATTTTTGTTGTACTTTTATTGATCATTATCATATATATAACTATGTCATAAATTATAAAATTGTTGACTCTATAATGTGATCTTTGTGATTTTACTTTCAGTTAGCAATTTTTTCAAATCTGTTAATTTGCAAAATAGAGAATTATATCACCTAGGTGGTTAAAAAAAAATATTATATTCATTTATTTTTCTTTTATATATAAATAATATCTAAAATTTTACTAAAAAAATTTATTTCTTTTATTCAAATCTTACTAATTTAACATAATGAATATAGTATCAATTAAATCTTATAAAACAATTCAAATTCATAAAAAAAAACTGTTTAGATAAATAAATAATAATGTATATATATTTGAAAATTTATATAATATTTATTGATAATTAAAATTCATTTTTAATTATATTCTAATTCTATTTAACTTTGTTAATAAAAAGTAAAAAAGGTTAAGGATCTGTAAATTCCAATTTTATGATTTTTTTAAAAAAATAGTAAAAAGTGAAGAGGAGAAAGTAATTTTATAAAATTAAAAAATGCTTACATGAAAATGATAACTTAGTTGAATAGTAAATTGTGATAAAAAATTGTCAAAAAGAAATTTATGATTTAAATTTTAAATTATATATTTCTTTATAATAATTATTATAACAAATATAAAATAATCTATATATTTCTATTTTTCCATAATCCCTTCAACCCAATTCCAACCCCTATTACTAAAGTTTATAACTTAGCTGATATGATTAAGAATAATATATATATATATATATATATATTGTAAAAACTTTATTAATAAAATTAATAAAAATTTATCATAAATTAGAAAATTTCAAAGTATAAAGAAACCTCTCTAAATGAATTCCCATTGGGATTATAGGACAAATTTTTAGAAAAGTGCATTTAAAGAGGATGTGTATTTATAGAGAGAAATTTTATAAATGTTCTATAGGCTTGGAACTGAACAGGAATATACTTTTTAAAGGGAATTTACAGTCCGTGCATTTATAGAGAGAAGTCACTGTATTTGTTATTGGTTCAAATCAGATTTTTTAGTACATAATAAAAATTGGGAGATGTGCTATGACGTGAGGTCATTTTCCCTAGGCATGTCAATTCAAATTGATCGTAAAAATGTATGCAGGTCTCAAAACCTTATGCACTATTATAACAAAAAAAAATTCACGTTTTTTTAGTAGGTAACATGGAGCATAATCGAATAAAAACTGAAAATTCTAATTTGACGCGACATACAAGTATAATAGGTCTCAACATAAATAAAAATGAATCTCTCAATACGGAAAAGATACTGACAAAAAAACGTAAATTAGATAACGAAGATCTTAGTGTGTCAAAATTAAAGAATAAACCTTTACAAAAAAGTCGACAGACTATTATTGAAGAGAATAAAGATTTGGATAGTGTGATATATTATTTTGAGAAAAGTAACAAAAAAAATCCTTTATGCGCATTTTAACCGTTCTCTAAAATTAATTTTTTAATAAAGTCATGTCTTTTAGATCTTCGTAAAGTAAAGCCTTATTATTATGAATATCAAGCATTTGCAAAGGGGAGGTGGTTGAGACGTAGTATTTTTGATGTTTTCTGTAAGGAATTTCGTGACAGGACAGCAGAATATTATGTAAGATATTTTTAATTTACCACTTGTTATCAAGGAATGAGAGTAAAAATAATAATGACAATTCTTTTAGGCCTATGCGATTGAGACAGGTCTAATTACAATCAATGAGAAAATTATTACAAAAGAAACAATTGTTAAAAATCAAGATATTATTAGACATAAAATTCATAGACATGAACCTCCAATTACGGCTGCTCCAATAAAAATAATAAGTACTGAAAATGATTTAATTGTAATAGATAAGCCAGGAAGTATACCTGTAAGTATTTTTGCTTAATTGTGTAAAAATGATATTTTAAGTTTTAACTTGTTGGGTTATTATAATTAATAGGTTCATCCCTCCGGCAGGTTCGTAATATCGTCTAAAAATTGTTTTATGATGATGATTTTTGCGGTATACATCTAATTATTTTATTATATTTAAAGGTATCGACATAATACCGTTTTACATATTTTACAAAAAAATTTTGGTTTTGCGAACCTTTATAGTAAGTCATCAAAACAATTCACTGTATTTAAATTTTTTTTTTTTGAATTATCATTTACCATATTCACTTTTTTATCAGCTTTGAATAGAATCGACCGTTTAACATCGGGAATAATGTTTTTAGCTATAAATAAAAAAAAAGCTCAAGAATTTGAACAATTAATGCAAGAACGAAAAATTCGTAAAGAATACCTTTGTCGCGTTATTGGAGAATTTCCTACGTGCGTTGCTTAAAAATTTCGTAAAATTTATTTATGGGCCTACCTTTTTATTAATTTTCTTTACTTTACAGGGATGATGTAACATGTGATAAACCAATTATAACCGTATCACATAAACTTGGATTAAATGTTGTTCATCCGAACGGAAAACCTTGCGAAACTAGATTTCATCGTGAGAGTTACAATGGACGAACAAGTGTCGTTAGATGTAAGGTTTTTTTATTTAACATAAGATTAATAGTTTCTTTGAAATTATGGAAGTATTTATTATCATTATTGATATTATAAATAGGTAAACCGATTACAGGTCGAACACATCAAATTCGTGTTCACCTTCAGTATTTGGGTCACGTAATTGCTAACGATCCTTTATATAATCACCGTGTCTGGGGTCAACAAAAAGGAAAAGGTGGAATTGATGAAGATTTGACAAAATCTGTTGTTGATAATCTTATGAAAGAAGGAATAAATCAAGATGAAGATATTAACTTGGATTCTTCCACAACTATAAAACAAGATTCCGATTTCCTATCAAGTGACTTTATCAATAAAGAGGAACATATTCAATGTACTGAAAATATTAAATTACTAGAACAATGCGAAGAATGTACCATGCAAAATCTTCCAGATCCCGAACCTCATCAATTATTTATTTGGTTACATGCGTTGAAATATGAAGGTGATGAATGGAAATATGAAACTGAATGGCCATATTGGGCAAATAAAGACTTTACCGGAGATTATGGTATATAAATGACACGAAATTTTTTAATTATATTTAAAATCAAAAAAAGAATTTATCTTATTTGATTTGTCTTGATTTTCGAAATTTTCACATGAAATATATAGCGAAGGTTAGTAGTTTCTATTATTATTGTTTGAAGAATCAAGAATTTTTTTTGTGCGATTACTAAGCATTACATTATTAATTTATTAAATATAGATAGACAGACAAACATTTCAATTATATATATAAACTTCTATCATGTCCAACCATTGACTCTCCATGGACTAGCCCATGGTCATCTGAGAAACTTTGTTAGTTAATAGAATGATACTAGAAATATTTTTTTTGCACGACTTCGTGATCAATCTAATGTTAGATTTAGAATTCTCATTATTGAACCAATATGCGTAAACTTAACATCAAGCAGCCCCAAATCTTAAATTTTTGGATATGAAATTATTTATTATAATATACAATCTGTTATAATATCTTGTAAATATGGCAATAAATTTTGGTTATATGTTAAAGTGTAAGGTTGATAATATATTTACAATTGAAGGAAAAAAAGGAAAAACTATTTTCCATAATAAATAAAAGTACACGCATATTGAATACATAATATATAAATACAAAATAACAGAAAACAATATAAATAAAAATACATTTTTTTTTTAACGGAAATGTCTTCGTTCATGTCTTGTTAAATTCATAGCAGCTTCAAAAAGTCCGCCAGATCTATCGTGAGAAATTTTTGAATTGTTATCAGACGAAGATTTATTATTTCTTAATTCATAAAGATAACTCCTTTGTAATGTAATATCCCTCAAACCAAATCTAGAATCATTGTTCTTGCTTAAAGCACCGGGGTACCATCTAGTAATCTCATTACGATGCTGTCTCTCTGAAGCCAACAGAGCAGCTAAAAATCCGGGAGTAATATCAAATTCCGAGCCAACTTGAAAATCATTACTATCGCCTCCAGTGGAATCAGTATTTCTATTTTGATTTCTATACCTATTTTTTTTTATTTTAATACTAGAAGAAGAAATGTCATTATCACTAAATGCCTGAAGAGAATTAAAATTACAATCATCATCGTCTTCTTTTTCTTTGGAATCATTTTCGGAATCATAATCAAATCGATCCCAAATTTCGTCATCTTCAGAAGAATCATTATTCCAACACATTTTTGTTGGATCAAATTTCATTTTACCAACAAGTTGAAGAGATTTTGTATTTGTTGAATGATTATTCATATTTGTAATGAGAGCAGGACGGGTAGGCGAAGCCATAGCATTATCAAAATCTTTTAATACAAATTCGTTTCCATCCCAACGCTGAGTTATCGGATTATAAACCATTTCACCTACAGCTTTTGTATTCTTATCAAGATTAAGGTTCTTAATTAATTGTGGTTTCTTTCCTTTACGATTTTTCTTTTTACGTCCTTGTTGAATATTATCGTTATTTGAACCAACAGAAGAAGCACTATTTTTTCTATCTTGCTTCTCCTTATCTAGATTAATTGGTAAATCATCAAAAACATCCAATTCAGTTCCATCACCAAAACTTTGTTGCCTTCTAGGTTTACGCATAATTTCTAATATAGAATCAACCAATGTGGATGTAGTATTAAAGGTAGTATTTTGTTGAAATCTCTTTTTATTATTGATTGAAGGAGAATGTAAATTATTGGGATTTGCTTTTAATAATATAGGGCGATTATTATTATTATTGTGTTTATTTAGTAGAGTAGAACAATTTGCTTTAATTGACTTCGTTTTGGTAGTAGTAGAAGTGATAGAATTACCATTAGTAGTCTTCTTCGATGTCGGTTTATTAGTACTATCAGTGGTATTGATGGTTGTAGAACGTTTTGCTTTAAATTGAGGAGTATTATTAGGTGGTAAGGGTTTTATTACCCCTTTAACAGTAAGATTAGGACTCTTTTGTTTAAAATTTGATGTACTTGCTGTTGTCGTTGTTGTTAATGAAGAAAGACTTTTCGAGAAAACGTTATTTGTTTTCAACCTATGCAAAGAAGAAACTGGAGGAGAGCTACTATGAATGTTTCTATAACTATTATTATCGCCATTATTAGATTTCTTTCCTCCAGTATTAACTGTTTTTGGATAAACTTTATTTTTAGTAAAAGTAATTGGAGAAGGATATCTTCTAGTAGATGCTTCTGCAGTTTTTGATGATAATGGAGTAGAAGATCGACTATCCTTTAAAGGAGCAGAAGTAATAGAAACAGTGGATTCAGAAGAATCATTTTTACAAAGTGCTAATTCTTCTCTTGATGTTAAATCATCATTTTCGGATAAAATGTTGATAATTTGAGAAGGAGCAAATTCAATTGTGAATGATTCACGCCTTGTTCGTTTTGATTTTGTCGAACTAGGACGGGTAATTATATTTTTATTTTTTAACTTATCAGGAGCAAAAGCGCTTTCATCTTCAATATCTAATCCGTTCTCAAGATCATCATTATCATCTTTATAATTAATAGTATCATGAATAATAATATTATCATTTGTACTTTTCGCATTTAAGTGAGGAGAAAATGTTAAAGAATCCATATGTTCAGGAAAATGTAAGTCGTCAAAGAATTCTTCTTCACCGCTTTCGAAAGCGCTTTGTGAACTATTTGTTGGTGCTGGACTCGGTAATATAGAAAGACGCGATGAATTTCTTGAAGAGAGTTTGTCCGAACCAAATGGGTCTTTATCAGTTAAACCTCCTACTTCATGATCAGATTCTTGATATAATTTTAACGTTTCAGCAGATAAATTCAGTCTACTTAAATCCACCTCGGAAAAATCAAAATCATCATCGAAACTTTCTACAGATTTACCCTTTATATCCTTTGATATTGAAAATACTTTAGAAGGATCTTCGATTCGTTTTATCACTAATTGCCTCGGTGAAGTAATAAAATCATTTTCATTAACAATCTTTTTATAATCCTCCTCTTCTTCCTCATCCCAACTATCAAATTCATAATGATTAATAATATTGTTATAATTAGTAATGGTAATAGAGGAGCTTCTAGATTTACTCCTTTTACCACCGCTATTATTATTACTAGTAATTGTTAAATTTGAAAATCCTTCCTCAGGTATTTCCATATCATTATCCCAATCATCTCCAACTACCACTTTATTATTTTTTCCCACAAGTCTAGTAATTAATCCACTGAATTCATCTTTATTATTTGTTGCCACTATTCCTCTATTAATCATCATTTCTTTAACTTTGTTAATTGAACTATTGTTATTTGTTGATGTTGATGATGATGCAGAAGATTCCACCGAACTGTCATCATAATTATTACCTTCCGAAGAATCATCATCTGAAGAATCTTGTATCGTTATTCCGGACATATCTCTTGTCGTTGTTGATAATCCATAATCCTTTTCATTATTATTAGTTAAAAATAATCCAGAAGCAGGAAATTCTATATCATCCCAGCTCTCTTCTTCTTCTTTTTTATAATTTAACGTAAATGATGGTTTCCTTTGTTGTGATATTGTTTGTGTCATTATTCTATTGTTGATGACGTGTGATATGACAATATTTTATGTTAAGGTAATAAATTCATAAGTAATATTGCGTTAATTGTTTGTTGTCTTTTTAATAATAAATGAGTTTAATAATAAAATATGAGAAATTTGGACGGAATTGTATTATTATGATTATTTTTCTTTCTAAAATATAAAAACAGATTATTTTATAAAATATAATTCGTCTTTATCTTTTCTATATTTTAGAGCAATACGTTTACAATCTGAAATAAAAGAACGTAATGATTATGAAGAGGATAGGGAGATTATAAATTATAAATTTAAAAAGATTAAATACAATCGTTACGTTCAAAAAAAAAAAAAGAAAAGAAATAATGTGAGGAGAACGTTGAAATAAAAAAAAAAAAAAAAAAAAAAAAAAAAGGGGGATCCGATTTTATAGTAATTTCCCCCCACCCTATGCATTTACTATTTTATTAACAATATGTTGATATGTTTAGAACTATGTCATTTAGAATGTTTTATAAAATTTAGAATGTTTGATTTATGTTTATATTTGGTGTTACTTTAGAATTACCGTTCTAGCTATATAAAATTCTTACAAGTATGATTGTAAGTGATTGCAAGTCACTATATTAATTTTTTTTAGGGGTAAATTAGATTTCGGTTCATAATAGGCAATATAAAACAATAGGTAAAAAATAATGATATTTTTTTCGAGGTTTTTTTTTCATTCATAAGAATCTTGTATTGAAACTAGATTAACTAGTTTTATTATATTAGATAATGTCACATTTAACTATTAACTTGGTTCATTAGGAAACGTCCAACGAAATTTCGGCATAACAGCATAAATATGACAAAAAAAAACTTGTTATAAAAACTAGCATGATTTATAGGATAAACATTTTTATTATTAATTTTGTTTAAATTAATAGGGAATACGGATATGATTGATGACGCCACATTACACACTATCAGACTTCCACAAGTGAATTTATTTTTAATAAATAAGGATAGTTCATTTGTTGTTAAAAATGTTTCAATATAAAATAAAATCAGGAAAATCCCACTCTTTAAGGTTTCTAATTTCACCGAACTGGTGGATCAACCAACCCCATTCGTGTTTGGAAAAATTCGACCTTAATATTTATATCAAATTACAAATTTAATAAGACATTTTTTCAGTCATTTGCGAAAAAAGTTAATAGCAAAATTTTTTAAAAAACATTAATATTTTTAAATAAATAACTAATTACTTTTAATAATTATTTTTTTAAAATAATGATAATAAATAATTCTTATATATATTATAATACAATGTTAAATATTTTTTTTTAAGACACGGTAAAACAATTATTTATTAAAATAACATTTTCTAAAATAAAAGTAAAAAAAAAAATCTCAAGATATTAGAAAGAAAGAAATAACTACTGTCTAGCCTTTTTCTAATCAAATCAATCGGTTGTCTTATTATATTCCTAATCTAAAACTATGAGAAGAAAAGTCAAAATTAAAGGAAAATCATTTGACTAGTTTTCACTATGCTAAAAAGAGGCCATGATCTGCTGTAAAGTATGAGTTAGAAACAATTTTAATATGATCTAGAGAATTATTATTAATAGGATAAAAGAAGGATGAGAAGGATGATGTAAGAAAATAAAGATTTCAAAATTTTTCTTTATTTTGTAATATAATATTTTAATTCTTTTATTATATATAGTAAATGAATATTTGGTGATTTATATTAATTTGAAAAATTGTTTAAAAATAAGGTTATAAATATTAGATAAAATGGTAAAAGATTTGTTATAATTATTGGTAAAGTTTTTTATAAGTTTATATAAGTAAGATAGGATAATGCTTTTAACAAAATCAATAAATGAAAAAGAAGAAGATAAAGTAAAAGTTAATCAGTAAGAATAAATGTGATCAAGAAAATTTTAAAGTTTATTAGACCATTATTTACTTGACATTTGGATATATATAAAGATAAATTCTGTAATTACTATTTTACAACTTTTAATATTGTAATGTACATTTAATCTATAAGAATGCTTTGCAGTAAAAAAATATGAAAATCTAAAAAAATTAAAATTTTACTTTATAAGCTAAATATATATTTTAGTAAATAAGTTTATATTTAATATTGTTAACGTGTAATTCTTGCGAACTACAACTGTTAGACGGGGTGTCAGAGTGTTATTTCTTTTTAATGTACGT